ATTACTACTAAAAGCGTCAGGATTAATGCAAGCAAAGTCACGTGCATTAAAGGAATAAGCAAATAGGTATTAAAAAATCCCCCTTGCATAAAGAACATAAGGGCGGCAAAATGTGTAAACCTGCGATGTGTAAAGACAGAGATAATTCCGAGAAGACATTGCTGCTTCACAGCAGAGCCAATGAGAAATGACAGTCCTTGCTTATGAAGTACGTGCACCTCGCCAACTTGAAGGTGTGGAGGAGGAATTAGCATTAAAGATGCGGTAGGATTATTCTTGAAGGTGGAAACTGTACCAAACGATGGGTCCTTATTATCCCTCCGAAATGCGCAATAGATGCAACTTAATTTTTTACAAATGTTCATTCCAAGCTGCTTGGAAAGTGGGCATGTTATTGGCTTCTTTTCGGGGCATGTGGGCTACAATTGACCCTTAATCGGATCAATCCGACACGTCCGACTATCTGCTGAGTTTAGAATCTGTAAATCAACCATCTGCCAGTTAAGGCCCGACTGTGGCTCATGCACGAATCAACTATAAGCTACTGATGGTCCGTTGAAAACAGTTTTGACTGAGTACTCATAAAATTTCAGCTTGGGGGGATTTCACCTTAGAAAACCCCTGTCGCTTGAATTCAATGCATATCGTTTCTGGAAATCATACTGGACTTCGCTCAAAATAAAACCTCAAATAAAATATATGCTTGCTAAATAATTGTGCCAAAACTATATTATGACAACTGGAGTTTAACAATTTGATGATGTTACAAAAATGGCTCCGTGACACGGCCCTGCTCCAAACCCTAAAGAATGAGAAAACAGCCAACTCGAAAAATTGGCAGGCTGCATTTTCTTCCCTCTTGCGAAAAAATCAATTGAACGACGTTTCCCTGATTTGGATACTGGAGATGACATCTCAGCTGCCACCTCGACAGAAAGCAAAAGGGTATACAAAAGGAAAAGAATAAAGAGCTAATCATGGGGAGTGGAAGGCGTGAGGTGGAAACAAAAGTGAATAGGGGAAGATAAGAAGGATGGATACGTAAGCAGCCGAAGGGTAATCCCCTATTATCGGCACCCTCTCTCATATAATATCCCATGTATAGAAGAGACAGAAAAAAAAGGAACGCAATGGAGGGAGAGGCGAAGATAACGCCACCCCTGGCTCTTTTATTATTACTCTAATCCTTCTTCCTTCCCGGGAACCATTACAAAAGCCGAGGCTTTCCTCGATACAACGGATAAAAAGAAACCATACTAGTTCCCGTTCGGCTAATTTAATTTAAATAAAGAACCATCGTGAATTAATCGCATGTGCTCTTCGTAGTCTCCCAGGATTACATTCACGCTGAAGTAGAAGCCATGCAATCCGGATTTCCCGGTTTCCCAAGATGATTGCACCGAAGGAGGTCCGAGTTGCAACACCCCATTCTCATTCCTCTTCCATAGGGGTCACAATTAGCAATTCGCGTCGCTTGTCAAAAATGGGACTACGACCGTTAGTACCGGTAGCGTCCAACCAACGCGAGGCTCGGAACGCTTAAATCCTGGTACGTTGCCTTTGCCAGGGTTTCTCAGGATCACTGCCGAAGGGGTATCTTCTTCAAATTTACGTGCATTATAGTAAATTATTTTGGGGTCCTAGGACTCAGAGCGAGCACTGTATTCACATGAGAAACGAGGTCATAGGTTCTGCCAAATTACTACCTTCCTTTAAAGCTCCTATGGGAAAAAAATGCCACGCCACTTGTGACGCTACGTGCCGAAGTACCCGATTCTCGAGAAACAACGCAATCAACGCAACAGAAATAAAAAAAAAGGGAGAAAAGAGGAATGTCATTTTAAGGGGTGGGAATATAATCCAAATCTATCCCTCTCGGGGGATGAACCTATGGCTAACACGGAGGAGAAAGGAAAGATTTCATTCAAAGTATATATCGAAAGCCTATGTATCATAACCCTCGAGATATAGATCTCCTTTCTTTCTCCTTTTCAGAACGAGCAAATTCACTCCCTCTTCTTTCCTCTTTCTATTCAAAAGACAGAGACAGAGAGAGCGACAGAAAGCACTGAGGTGCGTTCTTAGATGCAGATCGATCTCACCGACCTTTTCCCCCATCTTTCTAGCTTTCCATCGATCCATTTTTTTTTAGGGGGGAAGAACGATGGCCGTAATTTTGGGAAGGAACCATTTGGAGCATCGAAATGAAGGGCATGCCGATTGAGGAAGATCAGTCGTGCTAATGAAGTAAAGGAAAAGAGGATCTGCAAGAGAAAGAAGAAAAAAAAACCGACAGATGAGGCACGACCTGCGTGATGTCACGGCCCATTCACGACATCGTGCCATATTGGGTGGTCTAGTAGCAAGACCAAAGCGGATCACGATCGGTCTCGTGATCTCCCAGAATATGATAATGTCAAACTATGGAGTGATAGCTGCTGTGAGGATGAGAAGTCGTGAAATGAAAAAAAAATTCCTCCAGTCCTGGGACTGCGAAGCCAAGCTGGAATTCCACGTTAGAAAAATGCCTTGTTTCATTCCGTAGGATTCTGGATGGGTGGCTGGATCTCAGGTTTCAAAAATCCAGGGAGACGTGGATGCCCTATGACCTATACGTATATTGCATACATGTTTGGCGTCTTTACACTCGCCTGGATACAATTTACTTAGCTGCATTAGTGGAGCCTGGAAAACTGATTGCACCGCACATACTCCCGGACAAGCGGGTCCATCAATGCTGCAGGGGAAAACAGAACCACTTCATACAACCTCTTTCATTTATCCACCTCACACAGTCAACATCCCCCAAATGAACTTCGGACACAATGATGGGGAGACGAGCACCTAGTAGGAGACGAGAAACAAATGAAAAAAGAAGCTCATCTCGTCACGAGGAGGAGGAATGAAGAGACCCTTTTCTACTTTGCACTCTTTTATCGCCTTTCCTTCCTTGACAAAGCGACAGCGCTGTCGCTGCTCTTCTTCTCTTTCAAAGTCCTCTTTCTTCTGACGTCTTGGTTTCTATGCACACATGGGGACTTTCACGCTCCGTCTCGTTTGTGGCGAACGACGAACCAAACGATCTTTCTCTCTCTCTTTTGCCTGTTCTTTCCATCCCTTGTCACATCTCCATCTTCATTCCCCGTCGAGAAAAGGCATTCTTCGGAATGCAGACTTCACGTTTCCGTCCTTCCAACTATCAAGTATAGTTTTTAATGGGGCGGGACGGAGCACAGGAATGGTCTGGACAAGTGCCACATATTTGGTCCAGATCATCCAGCCGCCAAACAAAAAAAGCGGCTTTCTACACCCCCCCCCCCCCCACCCCTCTTTGGAAGATAATGGATGCAATTACCGTGGGAGAATTATGGGCTGGTGAGGGGGAGAAGTGCAAGACTTGGCACCGGTAAGGGGGGGGGGGGAGAAGGGAAAAAACCTCTCATTACTCAAACGGAGACGAATCTATTTTCACTGGTGCCTTCTCTCCATCCATCAGGCAATAGATGACCAAGTCGATAGGAGGGACTGATGGATAGATAGCTAGATAGATAGATAGAGGACGTGATGGCAAAGGCATGGCATCCTTTTTGCCTTTGCCGATCTCTCTCGACGAAAGGGAAGGAATGGAATCCTAGGTATTAGTATACCCTAGGCAATATATATGAGAGCCTCTTTCCCCATTCATTCGCTCCGTTCCATACCAAGGAAGGGAACCCAGACTGATTGGAATGAAACCGGTCTCATATCCATCCTTTTCTGCTCACTCCTTTCGAAACCTCTGTGGGTTATTTTTTTTTCTCGAACGAAAATGCAAAAGAATCCCATAACGAGCACCCAGCCCCAGGCGGAACTTTTTTTTTATATTCATGAAACAATACACCTGGTCATCAGAAAAAGCGTCGAGAAAAACCCGTCTCGTTAGCAATGCAACCCAGTCGGGGGAGGAAGGAGATGAAGAAGAAAGGGTTTCCATGGCAACAAGAAGAATTTGATCTCGGCTCTGTCGGCTGCAGCCGACTTCTTCATGGGTCTTGCATTCCTTCCCCCGCATTTTTCATAGGCAATCACGGTCCCATTCTATTTGGGTCTCCATTCAATACGTGGTCAATGGAAAGGAGAGAGCAGGCTATTGTGTTACGAGAGCTCCGGGCTTTTGCTTCCTTCCTTCTTCCCTAGTCTCCACTTTTTTTTCTTTCCTGCCTTTCGGAGAAGAAATCCCTCAATTTCTTTTACGCATGTAATCGTTCATGCATGTGTGCAAGGATTGGACCCCGGAAGCAACGCCATAATGTCCAAGTTTACCGGGCCAATGGCAGGAAGAAATAAAAATCTCACTTTGAAAGTTTCATGAACATAAGAAAAGATACGTACTTGTAATAGTTGTCGACCATACTTCCACGTGGAGTCCTTCATATGAGGTCAGTCGTGACCACTCCATCGAAATGAGGGCATTTATAGAGCAGCAAAAGGCAGAGGAAGGGCATGGGGCCCAACCCGAGAGGAAGTACAATGTACTGTTCACACCCATTTAGAGCCGAGAGAAGAGAAAGGGATGGGGTAAGGGTGGAATGGTCGTGAATTTCTCAGGAGCCACGACCGAGAATAGAGGAACATTTTTCCCCCGACCCTCCTAGGGGACCCAGGAATAAATAAGAACTGAGGGGGAAGAAGAAGAAGACAAAGAAGACAAACAGGCGAACTGGGAAAGGAGAAAGATGGCACAAGGCAAAGGAGGAGGCACCGTGACTGGGAAGGAGAACAAAAAAAAGAGAAGTATATGAGAAGAGGAGATGCGGAGCACGATCTAATTTCCAGCTCCCTGGCCTAATACATAAAGGCGGAGGGGGGAGGGGACATTGTCGCCAATTACGACGGGAATTCCCCAAGGACCCCGTCGCCAAATAGCCTGCCAGTCCTTTCCTCTCCTATCTCATTTCTTCCTTTCTTCCTTTCTGTCTGTTTCCGTCTCATAAGAAAAAAGGGTGGGGAAGAATTTGGACTCACCGAAGGTACATCAGACAGACGACCCCGTGCAAGATCATGTTCACCAAGTGGTACCCGAGGGGATCCAATTGGTGTACCATGTAGTTCCATCGGAATGTCAGCACGCATAAGGGTCTGTAACTCTTATGGCTCTGCTCCTGTTCAAACGGAAGGGAAAAAATAAAAATGGAGGGGGCAAATTCATGATTCATATCCAACTTGAACTTTTTATCTTGACTAACTGGGGAAGGGGGGCCAAATGACGCGCATCAATTTCTGGCTTGCTTCTGACAAGAAAAAGAAAGGGCCGAGGTCACCTTTTATATACGTGAATATTTCAAAAGAAATGAAAAAAAGAAAAAAGGCATTGGGGTGTCCCCTCATGTAGACAGGCATCAGCCTTGACTAATGACAAAAGGGGACGTCGTTGAATTACGAGCATATAAGAGGACCAAACCCGATCCCTGTATACTATCGCTCCGAGGGCTAGCGGGTAAAAAAAAATGTATATGGAAGGGAGAGGGATGTCCTTATACAGGCTGGAAAGAAACCCAGAGGAAGATTTTCTGCGGGTGTACACAGACCTACAACGAAAAGGATGGGAATGTAGAGATACGTGACCAATCATCCTAACACAGGATACCCATCGACTTGTATCCGCCATCCGCCCACGCCCCCACGAACGAACCCATTCTCGTAAGGAAAAAAAAAATGAAGACACCAGTCATAAAACTCAACTGACCTTCAACACAATGAGTTACCGATCCATGGAAATCTCATTCGTCCATACCTGGCCTTTTCTCGCAGGCATTTTCCTTTCCACGATCCGACGAGTTGTCGGCATCCAAACCTATTCGTTCTCACTTTATCTTACGTTTCAGTTTTATGTGCATCGTGAGCCTTTTCTCTGAAGAACGGTCTTTTAAACCTTTTCCAGGACGGCGCCGACGCATTAAATTTCCCGCTTAAATTACAAGTCTAAGGTGAAACTGGGGTCAAATGTTCTCGTAAACCAGTTTAAATAAAGATTCAGGCCACAAATACGCTTAATTGTTGTGCTCAGCGTAAATTATATTGTGAACTAGTCACATAACCTTTCTCTCTGCCGTGAATTATATTAAAGCTCGCGGAGTAAAAGCACATAGATATTTTGAAAATATTTTTTTCTCATCAGTACCAATTTCCAAACACGCGTCAGTATTTGCTTCCGTTCGTCTATGTGAATCTATTTTGTCATCATGCCTTACGCCATATACCAGACAAAAATTTCCAGGATCTCCAAGGAACGTTTTCTTGGATCCATAAGTGCTTATGGAAGAAATTTTCAAGCCCCTGGAGAGGGGTGAGAAGGGAGAAAGATGGAGATGGAGCAATGCATCAACGCCAGGACGAATTCCTTCCCACTTACAACATGGAAAACGAGGGAAACATCTATCATCCATATCTCCCTCTTTTCCCTGCATAAAGACTCGCCCTTGCATCGCCTATAGACGTTTCTGCCAGCCCGAGGGAAAAATTTTCCATCAAGTCAACGTTACCGAAAAAAAGCTCGTTTTCCGCTCGCTTTCACTCGGAGGAACAATCGGCAGCAAGTACATTTTGAATCTCCCAGATAGTCTCTATCTCTGCCGGTACACAGTCACATTCGGCGAAAGGAAAGAAGAAATATAATACAGGTCGCTGATGGAAGCGGGGAAAAAAGGTCTGGCACGGCCTCTTAATTGGAAGATGTTAAATAAACAAAGACAAAGGCTTGAGGACTCGTTAGTGTCCGTCATAATTGGACGACGTGACGTCAGGAAAAATACACGCGTGTGTGTGGACATACCTACCCAGGGAGAAGATCGGATGACGCATTTGATTGAATGAGGGTTCACCATATCGAATATCTCCGTCATTGGAGATGAGGGAGATAATATAAAAGAGATGGACTCTGGTGAAGGACGATGTGCTTCATCTTCCCATTCCTCAACTATATTGAGGTCCGTAAAGGGAACCTCACGTTGCATGGGTTTATAGAGTTGCTTGAACCTGCCAGCCCTGAGGGACGTACGTAGGTCGACAGTACACTACAGTTTTTATGGGAGTCTGGGCCTGTGAATGTGTGTAGGCAAAGGTCATTCCGTTTTTACATAACGATGCCTTTTCAAGGGTCCCCCTGGGCTTCGCATCATAAGACGAGATACCTGCATTTCTTCTTCAATTCAAAATTTAAAAAATTACAGTTCACCTCTTATATCACCGGTAACAGATTAAAAGTCATCATCCTAGAGGGAAATTCCATTCCATGGTGTGATATTACAAATATCACATTATAAACGCGACTTAACGACAAAAATAAACGTATAACCACAGTCCATCCTGCGATTTGATCAATTCAGAATAATCTTTCGTAGTATTAGGCTATCGATACGGAAGAGACAGGAAAAGTAGACAGACTGACCTTTTGCATGGGAGTGCCCCAGAAGTCGTTGTATATGAGGTTCTTGAGGGGCGTGTGAGGTCTCAGGTCCTTGTTGTCCTTGATGGCACTCACGTCGTCGAAGACGAAGCCACAGAAGAGGGAATTGTAATAGACGAGCAGGGCCGTGGTTCCCACCAGCAAGTGCGACAAGTGACTCGCCATCTCTCCTCTGATATCTACAGGATTTCCACTAACTACCTCAGGTACTCCTCCGATTCAACCGATCACATCTGCGGAAAGGAGAAAAGCGCAATCAAGAGGATTGAAAAAAAAATGCAGCAAGGGAAGGGAACATAGTTGACAGCACAATGGATGAGCTGTAACATGCAGAGAGGGAAAAGTATATTTCTCGAGAGAAACGAAAAAAGGCATGGAGATGGGGGTTGACAGCATGGAGACGGATGACCATGGAAATTGTCCACTCCATCAGGCACGACGATGGGCGAAGGCACTAAGAAAAAATTCTGATCTCTTACGAGGAAAGAGGAAAGACCCTAGTTCATCATATTACCTCGCCGTCCTGTGCCCTATGAATAATGTGGAAGCCGTAAAAGCCCATACCTTTGTTTCCTCGGCTCTCATCAATAGTTCAACGACTCGAGGCTTAATGGGGAAGCTCATTATGGGAAGAGGCATGAATTTGTCATTGGCGAGGATGAGGTGCTTATGTTCGACAGAAGAGGTCCTCGAGAGGGGCCAAAAAGGAACCTTTTTGATGGCAGGCAACAAGAAATATGAGAAAGCCGTTTTGGCACCGGCTCAAATGAGGGGAGATCCTATACACAAGACTTTTTATATAGAAAATCCTTCTTTAAATCGCCTCGTAAAGGAGGAGGGAGGAGCTAGATCGATCCCCTGAATCCCCCGGCCTGTCAAAAATGATTACTCCCTGAATCCCGTCTGATAATATGCAGGGATCCGTCTGAATTTCTGTACACCCGACTGGACTCGATGCAGGCTAATGCCTAACTTGAAGGTATCTCCTTTTCGCTCCAATAACAAAAGGAAAAGGTGTGGGATCCACATATACAGCCACTTAGATATATCGCTCTAACTTGGTCTCTTGTACATGTCGACACTTTGTTTAACACAAATCGTTTCGTACAAGTTCGTATCTAAACATTTTGAATTGGATACCTTCCAAGTATCTCAATCAAGGTGATGCTAACAGCCCCGAACCCTCCCTGAAGGACAAGGCTGGGCAACATAGCGGCTATAAATCACTTCTTCATTGTATGCACTTGAGAGCCAATTAAAACCCCTCGCGAAGGAGCGACCACGTTTTCGGACACCGGGCCGGGTGATATCTCACACTCGTGGGGGAAACCTCGCACACTGGGACCACGAAGAGGACTGAAGGGAGGAGAGGGCATGAGTGAGTGAGTGAGCGAACATGGAAGGGAAAAACGCTTTTCACCCCGGGAAGTCCCTGGTTTGGAATGAGTGGACCCATGCAACGCGCCACCTTTTTACGTGCCTCGAGCATACAACAACACGTTCGCCTATTCTCAATCACAGATCCCACTGATGTGAAGATTGAATCCTTGCTTTAAAACAAAACGAAATTAAATACTTGTTAGGGGGCAGAACTGACAGGATGTGTATTGACAGATGTCCAGCAAATAGCTGCTGTTGGTTTCTAAAATAAAAAATGAAAGGCGTAGGAGGGGAGGAGCATAAAAGTAAAACGTTGGGAGAAAAAAAAAGGGGGGGAGGGGGAGAAGGCATCTCAAAACCGGTAGGCCTATTCCCTCGGACAACGAAAATAAATCAAAGCTTGACAAGTCATTCTTTTTCTTGCAAAACGCATAAGACGTGTTCGACACGACAAGTACGTAGAAGAAAAGAAATAACAAGCGTGGAAGAAAGGTAGAAACAGGTACCAGCGAAGGTGAGAAGGATGGGCGAGATGAGGCGAGGGCGAAATGAGAATGTGGGAAGGGGGGGTGTCACAGCAGGGGGGGATTTGGCCCCGCCGACACCCCGCTGCGAAGACGCAGCCACGAGGCAAAAGCCAAAAAACTTTTCTCCTTCGCAGGTGAGATAGGCCGGGCCTTATCCATTGTGCAGGGAACCCGCAGTGGAATGACCACAAGAAAGACACAACGGAGACCATCCGTCTTCCTTTTCCCCCCGCTGCAACCCGGGGCCTTTCCCCGGGTGTCGGTCCTGCAAAAATCTCTGCTGGATTCATCCGAGATCTCGCTCGGATGGGAAGGGGGGCCCCGGTTCTCGGCATGGATTCCTATTGGCCTTTGCACGAAGAGGTCCCTTGTCTGAGTTCATTCCACGCGGATCGGGATCGGAAGCGGCGCAGATAGGAGAGGAAAAGGAAGAGAAACTTTTCTTCCTTACATAAAAGGGACATTTCCGGAGGGAGCTGGAAAGATCTCTATTGGCGAACGAACACCCAGAAAGCGGACTTCGGCCCTTTGCGTTTCCTTTTCTGCGACCGAGGATATCCATTCCGACACGAAAACACACCCGGTCGCTATCGCAAAATCTGCGAAATTAACAATTTCGGGTCGATGGAGCTCAAATGGAGCCGACAGCGTCCAGATGAGGGCACTCGGAGGCAGGGGAATGATTGGGGAAGGGCAGAATGAATGAGGCCCCGTGTCCCCGAGGATTCCCATCATTGAAGACGGGATCGATCCCGTATAAAGGAGAAGCGAGTCTGCCACTCTCCTTTTTTGTCATGCAAATTCCCCACCCCTCTCTAATTTTCGACGACCCCACAAAACACAGGAAGTCGCTTCTCTTCACCGTTCCGACGACTTCGGGCCTCCCCGGAAATGAATAGCATTTAGACGAGCGATGGGCGTCCTCTCTGGCTCTTTCTCTCTTTTATCCTCCAGAAGGGACCGGATATTTGGCAGGATGAAATCAACCAAGTGCTTCCCTCTATCTCTTCATCGCGATCGAGCCCTGTCAACGGCAGAAGACGATTCTATTTGGGAGTGCCTTCGATCCGAAATCAATCATCCGGTCATTTTAGGCAAGTGGGGTCTGTCGGCAGCCCGTTTTCCCTCTCGCTATCTCGCTAATGGGCCGGGTTGACAAAAGAACGAACACGAGATATTCCTAGGTCGAATTCCGGTAATGGCTGCAAAAACGCCGAAAAGCGGTTGTTATGTTGCCTGGAAACCGGCAGGGGAGCTCGTCCCGAATGGCATGGCATTCCGGGGCTTCCACGTGGAAAAAAACTCGAAGCAAATAACGAGGGGGACGAGGACTCACGTGGGCGTATCGTACGTGCAACCGTCGAATGCAAGAAGTCATTCACTACATGAGAAAACATGCGTGTGGTCCGAAAGAAAGAATGCAAGCGACTGAGACATGATGAAAGAGCAGAGACCCTCAAGTAGTCTAGAGGGGGGAGAGTGGGAGGCCCTCTGGAGAGGGGGAGAGAACCACGCAGGCGCCCTGCCGAGCCCTCCACTCCCGACGAGCGGGTGCTCCCTCGTACAATGTGGTACCGAGTGGTACCGTGTAGAGAGAAGGAAGGAGGTACCTTAACGACCCTTGACGATCGATGGCCTTGACCTCCCCGTATTCCGACTCCCCGCGGAGCAGAACTTACTGCTAATGAGGTGCTCCTCTGGGCCCCGTAATGAAGTTCAATTGCAGTTATGCTCAAGGACTTGAGAAATCCTTTCCACACGGAGAGTAATTAAAATGTAAGGTGCACATGCGTCCTACGAGCCGGTAGTAACCAAAACGCTCAACACGTAACAGCGCACTACAATCGCCCCAGTCCAAGCATAACCCACAAACCGTCGGAGTGCCTTCCTCTATAGCTGTTGCAGGCGAAACATGCGAGAAATGAAGTCGGCAGGGGTATCTAAAAGTAAAGGGACAGTTATAACGGTCTACGCGGTAGACACAGGAACGCAATGCTGTTCCCGACGTCAATAGTGGTTTCTCTCGACAATATTCAACCCCGTTTGACTGCAATTCATGCACCCATCGATGCATGTCAAAGGAATCAAACCTGGCAGGTGTGTTGACCAACGGCGCGTTCGGAGAGCAAGCTGATGGCAACGGTTTTTTTTTTTTTGCAACTAGAATCGCATTATCGTTGTCAACTGTGACAACTGGGCCTTATTGTGAAATGCTGCTTGATGAATTAAAACCCGCCATTCAAGGCAAACGTGAACCGTGGGCACGTGGGTTGTTACTGCAATTTGACAGTGAATGGCCACATTCTGCTCAGACCATATGCCACCATTCAGGAATCGGGGTGGGAAGCGTTACCCCCCATACAGTCCGGGTTCTCCCCCCTTCATCCCGACACAGTCCGTGCCTCGTGACTTTCTTCTCCTGCCAGTCGGAGAGATAAGAGTCCCTCGAAGGCGGCGTTTCAACAGCGAGGAGGAGGTGCGCGAGCTACTTCGGCGTGCCGTGCCCGATCAATTCTTTCCGACTGGCCGAACGCCTTGAGACCTTGTATACATCTTCCGATGAATTTTCAACAGTCGTCTGAAGCATTCTCACATATTTGTAGCATTTCGTTCAAACACATCTTGCCTCTTGCTTGAATGAAAATTGCGTCCTTAAATTTGCGCATAGGTTTGATGCCATAAAATTCCGAACAAGACACGGTATCATAGCAGCTACCAAATAGAGCTAGTTCCACAAAGGTAAACTACTGTACAGGGTGTAAGAAAATTTAATATTTTAATATTGTAATAAATTCTGTCAATTTTGGACTAGAATAATGGTTTTTGGGCCACATGAAACAGAATTCGATGGGTTTTACGATTTTATTGATATTTTTTAAATATGCGGTAACGTCTCATTGTGCCAAAAATTGAATCTTCGACACCGTGCCCAAATAGCTGCACGGTAGACAGTGCGGAGGCAGAGAAGATGGGAGTGGCGGTGGAAGGGAAATGCCTTGGATGCAAGCAAGAAAACAAAGAAATTATAAAACCCCATCGAATTCTGTTTCGACACAAAATCCATTGTTCTTGCTTTTTTTTTTAATTGTGACTTTTCACACACCCTGTATTCCCACTCCCTGTTTGCTGGAAAGGATCCTTCATGGAAGGCATAGTCGAAGGACAAAGAGCACACACCTGCTCGGCAATCCTGTAGACATGTAGCGCCAAATTAGATCCATAGGAACGGCGAATTTACAAGTCAAATTAAAATTTAAGTTGCAAATTTTTTTATAAATTTGTCTGAGAAGTATTTCTACTGCATCATTTCATACTTCCACATTTAAAAATATAAATCTGTATGCATTTTTTATTTTTACCTTTTTTGTTGCCCGTTTCTTACTTTCCTTCAAATATATGTTCGTAGGAAAAAGGCATCTCCAAGACAAAATAGCTGACACCCAATTCACTTGGGTAGAGGTGGGGTCTCAAGAAGAATCTTCACCGCTGAAAAAAGTTCACGACGGTCACGAGAGATCACGTAGGAGAGCAGTCATACCCAAATCTATTGGTATGTATCTCACATATACCCAATAAACACGTTCGCCCCTTCACTATCGGATGCCCCCTCGTCGAAAGACCGGGGGGGAAAGAGACGAAGCCGGGTCATCGGTTCCTTCGCAGCGGGAATCGAATCCGCAACCCGGTCAAACACCGGAAAGGAAGACGATCGCTTATCAAATACCATAAAGTGCTTAATGCGAGGGGAGCACCTGTAGATACCGGTGTTGCCAACGAACATCTGGTGCTTCGAGCATCGTACTCGAGTCCCGGCACGCGGTCTAAGAGTGGTCGGTATGGGAGATCTTCCGTCGAGATTGGTGCATCGTTAAAATGAACCAAGAGCTCGACTGGTACAGAGGGGTGATCCTTTTTCTTTTTCTTTCAAAAAGGCAATGAACTTGAATGGGGTGTTTCGACCACCGTAAAACACCCCATTTAAGTTCATTGCCATCCCAACCATTAAGTCTGGAGAGCCAGGCCTTGACACTCTCTAGTACGTTTTTGTAGCAATTCCGAACCGGTCCGAAATGCTATTATTTGTACGCACAAGGCACAAGTTAGAGGACTCGGGGAGAGGAGAATTCGGTGTTCATTACTCTATAATAAGAAAAAATTATTTGTACCAGACTTCCATTCCCATTTTATGCCTCACTCAGGGATGCGTCCCGGGTTTTTTGACCTTTCAGTTTTATGGAGATGGAGTCGAAGGGGAAGGTAAAAACCACTGGCCTTGTTGTCACTAGCCACGACTGATTTTTCTCATTTTCCCACATTGCGTCAAGGTGTGGTACCATCAAATGATGAGTGCTCTGGGTTTGGCAAAAGGCAATAAAGAACAGTAACAATAGCTTTTTCTCGGATGTTGATTTAAAATTATTCCAATCCGACGACGAAGCCCCCCCCCCCCCCCCCCCCCCCCCCCCCCCCCCCCCCACC